GTTGGCCTACCTAGAGTCTCTCCCTTCAAGATCAGTTCTTCCTCACCCAGTAGTAATCAGCTGTCAACAATTCTTCAACTAAGATTGAGGCTTGCTGTTCGTTCACATATTAACTGGTGCCTATTAAAGCTAACATTATATGTCTGTGATCTTGCTTTATAAGCATAATTGTTGGTCATAGTAGACGGAAGTCTGACAAGCATTCAAAAGAAGAATGTGTATGACAATATAAACGGAAGATGCAGAGGGCGGAGACAGAGGTGACCAAATTTAGGACAGAGGATAGGGTAAGTCCACATAGAGGAAGAGTATCAAACTAGAATTTGTCTCAAGTTAGGAGGTCATGTTTTTCATCCAAAAGGTTGATAACACTAAGCAGGAGAAAAGGCTTCCAGGCACAGAGACAAAGCTTTCTGAGCAATGAGTCTACATTAGCAAAGCTTAGGGAGAGTTAGTACACATGTCATCAGGGGTCAAATGATCCATAGCTGAAGCTGGTGATGAAAGGTACCAGTTAAGATCACTTTCAACTGAGGTACCAGTTAAGATAACTCCCTGAGCCAGGAAGTAGGTTTGTGCTTTAAACTAAGGTGAGGCAAAGGTGAGAGTGTAGAGTTTAATCTAAGGATTTTCTCTAGAGGGGATTTTCGTGGCTTTTAAACCTATACATGGCCTTGTAAGATGTGGCCTGCAGTTGCATGTGCTCTGACACATAATGATGTCTATAAAGCAAAACTATGGTGTACCTGTTAATAGGCATTGATAGCAGATTGATATCTGCTGATCCTGTAGTAAATGAGAATAGGTAGCCATTGACAGTTACCTTGGCTGGGAGAATTCTGAAACCGGAGATCTTTGAAGTACTTATGAACGTAGCAGTCTCATGAAATGCTATGTAAGAAATGACTTTCCCGAGGAAGTCTGGGTAGTGCTGTTGGAAGCAGAAGTGTGAACAGGAAGAAGGCACGCTGTGCACCGATTCCAGGACAACAAGAGGGAGGAGAGGATGGGGGTCCTCAGGCAGGGTCAGTAACAAGGGAGGAGAGGACGGGGTCCTCAGACAGGGTCAGGGACAAGGGAGGAAAGGATGGGAGTCCTCAGGCAGGGTCAGTAACAAGGGAGGAGAGGATGGGGGTCCTCAGGCAGGGTCAGGGACAAGGGAGGAGAGGATGGGGTCTGCTGATCCTGTAGTAAATGAGAATAGGTAGCCATTGACAGTTACCTTGGCTGGGAGAATTCTGAAACCGGAGATCTTTGAAGTACTTATGAACGTAGCAGTCTCATGAAATGCTATGTAAGAAATGACTTTCCCGAGGAAGTCTGGGTAGTGCTGTTGGAAGCAGAAGTGTGAACAGGAAGAAGGCACGCTGTGCACCGATTCCAGGACAACAAGAGGGAGGAGAGGATGGGGGTCCTCAGGCAGGGTCAGTAACAAGGGAGGAGAGGATGGGGGTCCTCAGGCAGGGTCAGGGACAAGGGAGGAGAGGATGGGGGTCCTCAGCAGGGTCAGTAACAAGGGAGGAGAGGATGGGGGTCCTCAGGCAGGGTCAGGGACAAGGGAAGAGAGGACGGGGGTCCTCAGGCAGTACCAGCGGTAACAGTGACAGGCAAAAGGGCCTGGTGGGATCCTTTGTAAATTCACGGCAGCATTCACCCAGGTTTCTGTTAGAGCTACTCTCTCAGTAGCCTACCAGAAACAGGGTACCATAATGATGTCATTTATCCCACACCCCAGAAGGATTCGGGGTGGCATGTTACAATAATCATGGACTTAGGATTCAAAGGGACCTGAAAGTGAAGCTGTTTTCTTCTTCCTATGTGTGTGGCTTGGGCAATATACACCATCACCTCTCTGGGTCTCAGTCTCCCAAATTTAAAGTGTACTGATGATCACTGTCTCGGAGAACTAAGGATCTTTCTCCGTCCTTTCCTTCCTCCCTCCCTTCTCCCTTTCTTCCCCCAAGGATGGACCAGGGACCGCATGCGTGCTAGGAAAGCACTCTACCACTGAACTATATCTTCAGCCATATATATATGTTCATTTTGAGACAGTGATTCACTAAGTTAACCAGGCTGTCCTTAAAGTCACTCTGTAGTCCTGGAAAGCCTTGAACTTGCAATCTTCCTGCCTCAGCCTTCTGAGCAACTGGAATTTATAGGCCTGTGCCAACAGGCCCTGCTAGAAATTATTTTGAGCAATAGATAAGAACAAAGTACCTAGCACTCCCCTTGACATACGCAGACCTTCCATAGGACAAGATCTCCCCTTGACATACGCAGACCTTCCATAGGACAAGATCTCCCCTTGACATACGCAGACCTTCCATAGGACAAGATCTCCCCTTGACATATGCAGACCTTCCATAGGACAAGCCATCATGTGACACAAAAAGTCACAAAGCATAGGGCTGACCCTTCAAGAATAATAAGAAATAGAGGAGGGAGAACAAAACAACCAACTCTAATGAGTTGATTTAATTGTCTTAACTGATGCATCTAAATTCTTAAAAGTAGTAGACCATAAATGCATGTTTTACTGTAAGCTGTATGCTTGGCTGTTATTTCACAGTTGATATTCACACAGATAGCAGGAAAATGACTGCTAATTATGTATTCACTGAGGCCTTTCTACCCACAACAAATAGACAATTAAGATGTCAGGAATGAGTGTGGGGAGAAAGGAAGAGAACTTGAGAATTCTGTGGTAGGGTCATGCTGTTGTATGTCATTAGTTAATTCCCTCTTCCCCGGCTCAAACAACAGTAAGTTTACTCTCAACTTAATGCTACTGATTGACAGGACTCAAATGTATGACAGGTACCCTGAACCTTGCTTTCGTCATCTGATGAGGCAGGACAGGGAGTCTGCCTGGGATCAAGGCTCTGTCTTTTCTTCTCTCTCTCTCTAGCCAGTCAGTCAACACAGCTGTTCTTTGCCGAAGACTGAGTCCCCATGCCTAAAACCAGGAAAGTCTGTTGCCTCTCTACTCTCCTGAGAGAAACAGATGCTGTTGAAGCTAATGCAGCCAAATGAGCTAAAATGGCAACTGTGTGGCTTTGGGGAGGGGCCGTGCCCCACATTCTATGAAGACAGGGACAGCACCCAGAACACTATAGCCAAATAATCTTAATTCTGAAGTCTGTTACATCCCATAGATGTGCTTCTTCAACTCCCCATGTATCCTACAGCCTCAAGGAATTCAAGAAATTCCACAGGGTAGCTCAGTAGGACAGCTCATCTTAAGAAAGATGCCGGTCATGATGACTTGCCACAACAACCCAAAACCAACAGCATAAAGTATCAGGAAATGGGCTGGTGAGACGGCTCAGCAGGTAAATGTGCCTGCATCCAAGCTTGATGACTTCAGTTCAATTCATAGACCCATATCACGGAAAGCAAAGGCTGACTCCTTTCCCCAAGTTATGCCTTGGCATACACACACACACACACACACACACACACACACACACAGAGAGAGACAGAGAGAGAGAGAGAGAGAAAGATCAAACAACAGGAAACAAGAAAGTGTAACCTTACTTTCTCCTTAAAAAAGAAACTGTGTTTGTTTAACCTCCCTTATAATAAATGGGGAGACTCAGTCCCAGGTTGGCTTAATTTGAATAAAACTATTATGTGTTACACAAGATGAACATCTATTCAGGAGGTTGGGAAGAAGGGAAGGGAGGGTACTGCACACTCTGCAGGATGACTTTTGATGAGTCCCTATGTCTGTGACAGAATGAAAGCTCACCAAATTCTGGAAGCATATTCTTATGGAATTCGATGAGAAACTCTATTCAGGCTTTGCACAACCTGAAATCATAGCATTGGATGGAGGAACAGTGGTCCAGGGAGAACCCCAGAGCAGTGAGCTTATGTTGGCTACTGACACTGGATCTGGGTCCAGCTTAACCAAATCTCAAAAGCGCCCTGGAGCATATGGCTGACACAATTTTTTCCCGTTTTTTGCTTGGTTTTCTTTTTGTTCCTTTTTTTAGCAACACAAATTTTTTATTAGTGTCCAATGACAGTCACTTTAACTAGAGTTGATACACAAACTGTATGAAGAACTGACTCACATCTATAAAGTGACAGGCCTCACAGCCCTGCTGCTTTGGATGATGGGCACACAGAAGTCGTTTTGAAAGAACAGCGTCACATAAATAGAAGTTTTCTGGCTTATGGGAATTCCCCAGGTATTTTTCCCTTAACAATGTTGGTCTTCACTATAATACAAAGGGAATCCATGCCTCCCAAGATCTCTAATGGACCCCTCTGGGGTCAGTGACAGGAAACCAACCCGCAAAATTCTACTGATAATTCAATAACACTATTATTCATCTGAAAATATTCCCCGTCACAAAAGGTGGTATATTACTTTATTTCTGGTCCATTTCAAGAGAAAACTAGCCCTTGAAGCCGGCCATGGCAGCATGTGGCTATCAAAGGATAAATCTACAACTAGCTCAGTGAGTGGTGGTATCCACACATCACTAGCTGAATCACAGTACAACCAACCCATCTCACAAATATCAGGGGAAAGAAGGTGAAGAATGTATCAGAGGAGGAGAAATGGAAATCATTTCTCTGAGTCAATTTATATTGTCCCCTTAGTAAAGGGCAATGTGGAATCTTATAGAAACCTTAGCAATGCAAAGTTTCCATATCAAATGATAGCCACACAAATCCTAGAACAATTAGTCTCATGGGATAATAACATTAATAGAACCCAAAAGCCTCCTTTAGTAAGGACATAATTGGGTCCCCATTGCTTCTTCCCCTGTCAGAGTCATCAAGCCAGATGGCATCCTCCATGAAGTACAGCATAATAACCTACATATCTCCTGGAGCAGGATAGCTTCCATAACAAATCTGCGTGCTTGTTCTGTTCCAACTCCCAGAAATCAAAATCAGCTTTCCCACTAGGATCGCCCAAGACAGGCTCTGGAGACTACCCCTGGGTAAGAGGCTAGGGCTGGAGGAAGAGGGACCACACTCACCACTTGACTGCTATACCAGTACAGCGACGACCCCTTCAGCACCACCCAGAACTTTTTCCATTTGTTGCTTAGGAAAGTTCCCTTTTCCTTTTTCTTGTAGAGCCAACCCTGGCAGTCAGCGTGCCCCAGATCTTTACAGGATATCCTCCTCCGACTCATGGTGAAAAAACCTGCAACAGTTGCACAAATAGGTAAGCATAACCCCTATTCATGTGACAAAATAAAAGGAAACTTTTAGCTGTCTGCATGCTAGGAGTTGGATTCTTATACCAAGATTCATGCAAAGTGAATGCAAAAACAAAAATAAAAAACAGGGAAGAAAAGCATGTATCTGTTTTACCTTTAAATATTCATTTTATGGTTAGACGATAGGGGAGAAGCAGCAATGTGCCTCATACTCAAGCATCTGTCTAAGAAGGTTAGTCACCAGGAAGAAGTTGACAACACTAGAATCTCAGGGCTGGCAGGCACACTGTTGAGACACACAGCTCCTTCCAACAATAACAGCGGTAGTTATGCAATTGATCTGTAAGGGTTAAAAGCCACCTAGGAGCAGTGACTTCCCGACTCAATGCCAGCTTTTCTCAGCCCTATGGACGCACCACGAGGGATTAGCCCAAATGAACAGCATGCCATCCTCTCTTAAAATCAATCCAAAAAGAGCCAAAAAATTCATCTGCCTTCTGCCTCCTGATATTAACATTCAGACAGACAAGGACATGATCTTCAAGAAGGCGTCCAGAGGGAAAAAACAATACACACACACACACACACACACACACACACACACACACACACAAAGGGATAAAGAAACAAAAGAGATCTAATTACCTTGAGTTTTCTTCTTCGGCTTCTGACGCAAGGGAACCTGCTGAAAATTCAGGAAGCAAAGAAAAGGAGAAATTTCTGATTGTGTTGCAACATTTGTAACGAGAGAAGGAGGGAGGAGGTGGCAGTGTTTGTGAGCAGGGTGGATTCTAAAAAAAAAAAAAAAAAAAAAAAAACTCTCCAAGCAGAGCTCATGGGGAGCTACGAGCTGAGGCACAAAATGTGCTAATTAGAATCAATATACAATGAGCTTAACCTGAAAAAAAAAAGTAACAGCATTTATCACTAATGTTTCCTGTCTCTACCAAAGACAGCTCTTCCCACTACTTTGGTGAGCAAAGCAGTGTTTGCAGAAGTTTTTAGAAATCATAAAATATGTTACATTTTTGTGAGAGAAGAAACAATCTCTTTTTTCTTTTAATTTCTCAATATTGACTATCTAAATAAAAACTGAAAAGTAATTATTTCAATCTCAAATTAGTACATGTTCATGTCAGACTAATGTCACAGTCCTATTAACATACAGGATTCTTCCTAAACCACATGAATTAAATAACCCCGAAAAAGAAATTTCCTATCTCTTTTCCTGTAACCTCAGTAATTCTCAAGCTCCTAATCGAGAATTTTTTTATTCACAGCCAGATTTAAATGCCTTGTTCCATATTTCTGAATATTTCTCAACATGTTTTATTAAAGATGAGCTAGTTACCATACCATTCTGTGCTAGCTCTTCAAATATTCAAATCAGACATGACAATCTATATGAAATATAGATTTTTTTTCTGCAACATATTTTAAGCAATTCATGTAAAAATCAAACTACCAGAAAAGCTAGGAAACCCAAAGGAAAAATATGCTCTCAAATGCCTATGTGTGTGTGCATAAATATTTAAGAGAACTTTAGTTTAAGTAAATTCATTTTTCCTCTAAAGCGGTTCAGCTGAAATTCTTCAGGTTTAAATAATCTTCCTTTATGCTAGCAAACAAAGAATTTTTAACATTTAAGCAAGTAATTAAAAGGTAGCTCTAAAAGTTGATAGGTAATCTTATGAGTTTTATGGTATTCTAGATGCATCTGGCTAGTTTTCGACATATCCAGCTGCTGATTAAAGGCAAGGCTCTGTGGTTCCACTGTATGCTTGAAGAGGGAATGTGATCGATAATGGAAATAGGATTTTTAAATCAAGAGGTCCAGAACTAACGAGGAGATGTGTTATCTGAGGCAAAGTCACTTTGATTCCATTCCCTCATTTGTAAAATCAGGAGATTTATAATAAATACCCAGAAGACTGAGACGAGAGGATTATTTTAAGACTGAGGCCAGAGAGGCCTAGAGAGTGAAATCCTCTCAAATATATATATATTTACAAGACTTCTAATCCTATATTAAAGAAATTTGCCAAGATTTGTTTGTGGAAATGTCATTTTTCTATGAATCATCATGTATCAATATATCATTTCGATAAAAGCAAATACCTAAAAAACTAAAAGCTCCTGATTTTCTAGAGTGTGACTTGTGTTTCCTTCGTCAGGGTGGCAGAGTTAAGGTAAACTGTGTTTGCTCAGGAATACATGCCTATGTGTCCAGTGTGGTCCTGGATTGGCTATTTACATTATGAATATTCTTTTTTCAACTGAATCATTGATCAATCTTTTGGGGATAAATTTTAAGCAAATTCAGCATGTGACAATCATAGCATGTTAATTACACCTAAACATACTGTCATGGAAAGGACCTAGTCTCACATCCCCTTCCTAAATTCTCCTACACTGCCAAATTGTTTGTCTAAAATAGTCTTCATTGTTTTGACAAATAGTCTCCTGGCTTGTTTTGTTTTAATGCCAATATCCAGAGATCCATTAAACCCAATTAGTACATACAGTCTGTGTAATATTGAGAGTCAGTGTTAAAGAGAGAGCAAATGAACTTGATGGTCAATAAGGTTTGGGAAACCTGGGCTCCAAGAGCCCCCAGGGAGAAATTAAAGCAACTAAGACCCAGAGAAACAGGAGAAAGAAGCATTTATCACAGTTATTCCTAGAGGGCTAGAGCCCCAGGTAAACAAGATGAAACTACATCATTTCAAACAGCATCAGCAACTTTGAAAAGAACAAGTGAGAGGCAATCCCTACAAGGCAGCCATGGAGTCGGGAAAGGGAGGTAGAGGTGACAGTCATTGCAGGGCTCCTGGCTGGGAACTATGAGTCTCCTTCATCCATGGCTCATGACTCCCAGGGAGACAGCTAGCTCTCCAGTTCCACCGTCAAGCTCTAGGCAGCTTCCAGGGAAAGTCCCAAGTCAAAAGCTATCTCTGTCTTGGCTTAGCCCAGCCCTGGGTCTACAGCTAGATTCTTGTACCTCGTTTGCATTGAGAAATAGGAGTCCAAATCAGGACGCAGAGCCCTGAAGCAGAATATGGAACCGTGCCAGGCAAACTTCTTGTGATTCAACCCTGTTCTGATCATCTTCCTCCAAAGTAAATATGCTGTTTCCCTTAGCATATTAGAGAAAAAACAAACTACAGAGGGTTTCGGTTTCACTTGATAGATGTGAATTTGAAACCTCCGCTGGGTTACATGAGAAAAGGCAAACAATCTTTGAGAACCTTACTGAGTCTCCTCACAACAGGAAATGGAACCCATGAACGAGTCAGTTTGCAAGACCTTAATGTGGCTTTCTCACCAGCCGGGTGAAAAAAATGTAGCAGCTGGTTGAGCATTTTATGAGACAGTTATCAGCACAGACATTTGGAACTTAATGGGGTATTTTCCCAACCTATTTCCTTCCAGTTTGGATGTTATAGATAAAACTGACAACTTATTCTAAAGATCTAAATTACTCCTAAAATGGATCTAAAATTGGGGGGGGGCATGGATTTCTCATTGAAAAAATATATTTAGTTTTTATGAAGAAAAATGTTCTTTTGCTTTTGGAAGGACAGTTCAAATGTCTCATTTGAGGGCTTGGAGGGGCTCAGGTGCTGAACTGTTTGCTCACTAAGCACAAGTGCATGAGTTTGAAGCCTAGAGCCCATGTTACAAAGCTGGGCGAGTCTTGTGGTGCATTTGCAATATCAGCGTCCAGGAGGCAGAAATAGGAAGATTCCTTGGACTTACTGGCCAACCAGACTAGCCTACCAACAAGCCCCTGCCTAAAAAAAAAGGTGTATGGCATGACACCTAAGACTGATCTCTGGCCTACACACACGCACACGCACACACACATGTGCACACATATACACATATGTACATGTACATGCACACATGTACACACATACACATTTACATCCACAAAGATTTCATTTCAGCACTAATCACTCAAGAACACAGAATCTCAGAAAATGAAGAATCATGGGATGGAAGAAGAATGGATGCTGAGGGAGGGAAGAGAGAATCAGTTTTCTCCTGAGACTAGCCCCCTGAGAGGTGGTCTGGTCTCAAGTGGGCAGCCTTAAACACACAAGCACCACCAAATGGATTCAGAGCATTTTATATATATATATACACACACACACACACACACATAACAATAATCAAAGGTGAGGAAAAGAAATTGAGTGGGAGTTGGGGAAACATGGGAGAAATTAGAGAGGGACTGGGAGGGACAGAAATAATGCAAAGACAATATTCATATATGAAATTCTCAAAAATTAAATTTTTTAAAACACATGGAGATATACAAAGTAAGCTCCTTTGTTGTTAAATGATGGGATTGCAATTAATACTGACTTCTAATCCACCGACTAGTTGTAAAATCCCCTAGCCCCTACTTATCACATGGAGTATTAAAACTCAGAATAAGATTCTTTGTCATTACATCCAACTTAATAGCGATCCTAGTCTTTAGCAAAAAGTAATATAGTGATGTTAAACAAAGGGATCTCTGTTTGAAGGAACCCTGACGTGCAGCACGTCACTTTCTGTGCAGTGCCTCACACCCTGGCAATTTAAGCTACCAATATTTTAAAAATCAAGCCACAGAGAGCTCTGAGTCTGGAGTCATCCACAAATACTTCAAATTTTCATAAACATCTTTTTTTAATTTCTGGAAAACTAAAATCAACTTTTTTTCTTTTTCTTTTTTTTTTGAGACAGGGTCTCCCTGTAGCTCCAAGAAATTATAAAGTTTTTGATTAGAAAATTTTACCTTGAAAATACATTTTTATATTTGCTTCTTTTTTTCAAAAGACTAGCCGCTGTAAAGATGGTATAACACACCTTAATCTGGAAAGAAAATCTCTAGTAATGAATATAGAGTTAGGTAGTGGAAGTGTGAGTTTGGGTTAGACCATCTGAAGAGGATATAGACAGTCAAAGTCAAAATCAGAAGGATATCCTGGAAGTGAGGGAGAGACTCCAGAGAAAGGTGGAGACCGTCTAAGCCACCAATTCTGCTGGTATAAAACAAAAGGTTCCTACAGATCTCTGTATTATTATTTTTCTCATCACTATAACAGGGTACCTGACATGAACAACTTAGAGGGAGGAGAGGGTTAACTTGGCTCACGGTTTCAGGGAATACATCATGGTAGAGAGGGCACCATGGAACGGCATGAACATGATTGGTACAGCACACATCTTGGCATATCAGAAAACAAAGATACAGGACAGGAAGCAGGCTATAATCCTAAATCTCGACCCTAGCAGCCTGCTTACACTGGGTAGGCCCTGTGCCCAAGGACTCTACAACCTTGCCAAACTGTGACCAGCTGGGGACCATACAACTCAAACATGAGCCTTACAGGACATCTCAGAGTTAGACCATCACAGAGATCTTGGTTAAATAGTTTCTTTGCTTTTGGGAGCTACAAAACAAATTCCACTAGATTCTGGGATGAATGGAATTTGAGAAAGTGCACACAACATTATAGACTTCCCTTTCAAGAGTCTTTACTAGGGGGCTGGAGCAATGGCTCAGAGGTTGCAAAGGACCCAGGTTCAGTTCCCAGTACTCACATGGCAGCTAACAACCATCCATAACTCCAATTTCAGGGTATCCAATGCCCTCTATGGCCTCTGTGGGCAATGCACAACATGGGTACA